GCAGTTGTGAGTGCAGAGGAGAAAGATTAATTTTCTAGTTGGTGTTAAGGAGGTCAGATTAAACAATAGTTCTACCTTTTGCAGTACTTGGGGATCAGAAGTCATGCTGCAGCCACAGGCTGGTGGTGGAGGAGCCCACGTGCGATGAGGATCTTGGAAGAGACGAAGTGTGTCGGTTGGAAAATCTGGGAGTTGCCCAGAACTCATAACACAGCAAACATGATAAAAGCCCTACTTATGAGTAGGGCTGAAGGATAGAGCAGCTCTGCAGCAAATAGAGAATAAACCTACATTTTGCAGGGGAAAATGATGTTACACTCAAATGTGAAGAGGGAATCAAACTCTGTAGGCTGAGCCTGTAAGAAAGCTTCTGGCTACTTAAGCAGATGTCCTGGTAGAACCAGCCACCTCACTTTTTGGGTGTTTCTTTTGTTTTGTTTTGGATTTATTTTTTTTAGCTAGACAAAATAAACAAAAGAGCTTTTGTGTGTAATTGCTTTTTGTGGTTTGATTTTTTTTCTAGTATGACTGTAACTGTGTTGGGTTTGTTGCTGCAAAGCTGTGTAGCTTGATAAGACTTCTCCAGGATGGATGAGGTACTCATTAACATTAATTTGTGGAAGTGCAACCATAAGAAATGTGAGGGGCTAAAAGGAAGTCAGTCTTTAAGAGTGATTTAATTTTTTTAATTTATTTTTTTTTCCTCAAATAAGGAAATTGGTACAATGTTGTATTTGGATGGTCCTGCAGGAAGAATCAGCAATGATTATTCTAATTAATAGTAAAATAGAAGGAAAAAAGGGGTATTGGCATCCTAAAATAAGTTCAACAAGGGAGTCAGCAGAAATCCACGGCTTCCTTGTGGAGCTACCACTGAGCTTGAGTTCAAGGAGGGAATTCCCTACAGAAGTATGCACAAAACGAGGCTTTGATTTGTGCTGAGATATAATGATCTAACATAAAACCTGAATTTGCAATCATTAGTTTGTGACATTCCGAACTGAAACTTCAGAGTTTGTGGTTGAGCAAAATGGAACTGGACTCCCAATTTGGGTATACTGGGGCATGTTTTATCCCACAGGACAGATGTTACATTTAAATAGACTACTCCGAGTGGATATTATGCTGGTGGTGTAAGCACCAACTATGACAATATTAGATAGCACCATACAAAGCCTACTTGCATGGACAAGGAACAGAACAGCCTACTGGGGAAAATGTGACAGTCTGCAAATGAAGTTTCATTGATTCATGAAGGCTAAAAATCTAAAATATCCTAATTTTTTAACCCTATAGCAGTTACAATAATTCTCATAGAAACTTTTATCTGTAGCTTAAAACTATATAAGCATTGTGAGCTACAGATGAAGTAGTTACTGTGAACTGCAAATTATTATCATTTTAGAGAGGGGGGAAATATGAGAAGTGAAATTGTGGTTTTATGTTGTACAGCTTGTCTGTCAGTAGAAACCAAAGAACCACTGAGTTCTGTTTCTTTCTGATTATTTTAACCACCACTCGCTTCCCTTCTGTTCTTCTCTGAGTTGCATGTGACCTTTGAAGTTCCCAAAATATCAAGCCCATGCTCTTCAAACACAACAAATACTGAAATTGAGCAGTTGGTGGTATTGACTGGAGTCTTAGACCAGGCAGATACTTGTTTTTGAACACTGAATTTAGAATGCTGCTTCTGATGGGTGACCTTTAATGCATTAGGTTTTGAGGCAGATACTGTATGAATTACTAGTCTAACTAAGAGAAAAACGAAGACCCCTAGGATTTCACCTCCAGAATGTGTGTAAAGCAAAACAGAGTGTCTGGTTCTCAAAAAGGCAGGCAAAAGAAACCAAGTTATGACCCAACATGTACGATTCACTTTCTTCTTAGTACATCTGGAACTCACAGGCCGATAAACCCAAGTTTATTTGAAAAGCAGTGGCAGAGATGTATCAGTGCCTTTTCAGTGGAAAAAACAGAGAGAATTTAGCTGTTCTTTTAGAGTGTTTATTAGCTGGGGTTTTTTCCTGTGTTCTTTCTAAAATTATAAACTGCTCTTAATTTTTCTATGAAAAAGAGCAATGGCCAAAAGCAGAAGTCTAAAAGAACATATTAATTTAGGGAGAGTATTCATTGATATCTTTCTAGATGCTCGCTCAGCCTTCAGGAGTTTTCAGTTCAATTACTTCCTGTGCCAGAAGTAATTTCTGTGCATTAATAGCTATCTATGGATTTCTGTGTCATGAATCTGCCTCCATGGGCACATCTGCAGGAAGGCAAGCTCCATTAGTTCTACGATTCTCAGAAGAGTCAATCTTTAATTTTCTATCATCATTGTTACTGTGTGTCAAAGGTTGATTCTAGTTAGTGTAATAAAACATTTTTTACTTTGAAAAAATAAAAGCTGTTATCCTTAACCCCACATACTGTGAATCTTCCCCTTTAAGGATGACCTCAGTAGCTCTTTCTTCCTAACAGTAATGAATTTGACATTTCTTCTGGGAGTGTTAATTTATTCAAGAGCTTTGATTTGCATGAGTATTCAGCGGTCCCCAAGTTGGGCTGGCTTCCACGGGGAAGTGAGCCTAATGGTTAATGATGTTATCTGGATGTTTGATAACAAGATTTAACAAAGAAATAGGTAGCCAGAAGCTTACTGTCCTGAAAACCTGCAGCAAACATACCAAGTTCCTCAATACCAGACACAGAAAATGGCTGACACGCTGCAGGCTCAGTGGCTCTTTGCCAGTGAGTAATGGTTATGTGGTACCTTCCTTCCCCATGAGAGTAGCACAGGTCGTTGTGCCGTTTGGGACAAATACTGTAGCCTATCTGCAGACTCTGAAAATACATGCTGTGCTTTGTGGCAGTAGCATCACCTTGGGAAAAGTTAAGACAGTGGCTCTGGGATGCTGAGTTGTTGGAAGTCACTGCAGAGCTGTCGTGGGTGCTCACAACTGCTCAGCCTCTTTGTTCTAAAGTGTGCAGAGTGGAAGTGGTGCAAGGATGTGAAATTAAGCGTTTAATGACTTCATTACTGCAACTTGCTTCTCACATGATGTCTCATGTAGGCTTTTTGTTTCCCCTTTCTGCATGAAGAATTTTCCATTTCCCGGGGCCAATTCAGCCACACGTTCTTGCAATCCTGTTTAGTTCTTGAGTGTTTCTGACTTTAAAGACTTGATGTTGTGTGTAATGTTGTCAAATGCTAAGGTTTTATCAGCAGGACATCAGGCAGGAGAATGGACAACAAACATGCTGCATATTTAGGTTTTTTGAGTCTATCTGATCAAGCTGATAAGGTTGTCTGAGAGCTGGACTGTTGCTGTTCCAGCAGGTATATATGTGTTCAAGACTAACTGCTTAAAACTGCAGAGATCACAGTTTACAGAAAGAAAGTTGAAGGAAAATAGCAAACTTTTGATTTTGAATTTAACCTCTAGTTTCTGGAGGGAAAAAAAAATACAGGTCATCTGTGTAAATTTCCATTGTCTCCCTTGCCACACGGCTTAGTTTGGGAGTTATTTTATATTCATGGGAACTGTGATTCCTGAGTAGGCCACTGTCTCCAGAATTTCTTATACTTCTTAAACCAGAGGTCAGCAACAAAGAAATGTCAGAGCCTGCACCTTATGCAACTTGACAAACCTCAGTGCAGATGCCAGACCTGGAAGAAGAATGACGAGTGAAGATTTACACACAACTATTCAAGACAAATCCTGATGGAGGCTTCTTAGTACAATATTTTTGCTCTCTCTCTCTTTTTTTTTTTTTTTTTTTTTTTTTTTTTTTTTTTTTTTTTTTTTTTTTTTTTTTTTTTTTTTTTTTTTTTTTTTTTTTTTTTTTTTTTTTTGACAGGGGGAAGAGGGAAGCAGGATTTGGTTCTTTTACGTCACACTGTATAAAAATTCTTCCCTTGAGGTGCCCCACTAAGGTTATGGCAACAATTCACAGAAGGAAGCAAAATGTAATATAGCATGTGATCCCTTAGCTCTTTTGGGAGCACGGGCTGTCTGCTCTGTCTTGTGAAGAGAAGAGCATGTTGTCAGATTCGATAGATTATACTGTGACCCTGAATTGTTTAGATTGCCTTCGGTTATGAATACATGAAGATACTTCTGAGAATGCAACTGTCAGGCAGTGTTTGTTGTTTGGGAAAATGTGTTGATCTTTGAGCTGCTCCTTGCTCTTAGTTTGAGAATTAGAAGCTTAAAGAAAAGAGAGATAATGGTCCACGTAATTAAGCTGCTGCTTGGAACTCCAGAAACAGTTTCCAATTCACACAGAGCATGTTGCATCAGTAAAATGGGGCAAAGCTTCTTTGCTTTGAAGGCTTGAAGTGCCTGTTCCCTTGATGGATGCATAAACTACAACTTCTTTGTAAAGCCCCCAGTTGATCAAAATCTAGCTTGAGAGTGATTCCTTTTATTATCAATGGTGAAAGCATTATCAGCAGTCTTTTTGTTCAGATAGTGATGGTATTATTCAGTATCTGCATATCATTCTCAGAAATGATGAAATTTATGTATTCTTGGCTACACTTTGCATTCCAGGGTAATTAACTGTCTGGGATTCTCGATCAGTGAGTGTGAAATGTTTAGTGTATGCGCTGTGATTAATGTTTTGGACACAACTGTCATTAATTTTATTGGCATGAGAAGGCACAGTCAGATGGGGGCACTATTAAGACATCTGATACCATATTTTAGTGTAATTCTGCACACTTCATCATAGTGGCTTCTAAGTCTTTCCCAGGTAAATTGAAGAGAATCAGCCATAATGCTAACCTATGCCCTTTTCTTAGAAGCAATCTGCTGCCTTTGGCTTTTGTGACCTTGGAGCTGCTTGGTCTCTAAGGCACAGGATATCCTCTATTAAAAGGGAAACAACAAAATCGGAAGTAGTTGTAGTTTAGGACTTTACCAGCCAGAAGCAGAAATGCCAGTCACATATACTTGCCATAAGGGGGGTTGTGGGATCTCATGTTATTTTTCTCTTTGCAGGGTATCATCCAAGCCTACAAGAGTGGCATAACCCTCCAGGGAAACACCACTAGCCTGGGCAGGTGGGACTACAGTGGGTCTTTCTTCTTCTCCATCTCTGCAATAACAACCATTGGTAAGAGTTCCCTGTTTTCAGGGCCACCTCAAAGGTAGGAAAAGAGTGGGAATGAGGGCAGATGCTGCTCCAGAACTATGGGTCTTCCTGTAGCTTGTCTATATCATGCAACATATAAGCACCCATGAACCTAGCCCTAGAAATGCTTTGTCAGTGCCAGCACAGTAATGGTCTCTTACTGACTGTATGTAGGGATAGTTAGCTCGGTCCATATTCCTACTATGTTACAGAGCTTTTGGGGCCTGAACTTCTTGGTCCTGCAGTGCCTGTACTTCCCCAAACCTAGTGGGCTCTGAGAGGTGTGAGGTGAATTGTGCATTGAAATGGGCTTTTCCTATCACAAGGAAAGGAATGATTTTGAAACACTCTTAATACTGGCTGCTGCATCTTCAGAGGCTATATTTATTAATTAATTCCTTCTTATTGCTATTTGTGTTTGATGAGGACCTGCTTGTTCAAGTGAAAGTTAAATAACTGGATAAACATCACAATTCAGTTGACTCAGGTTTCAGCAAATAACTAATGCAAAGCCATGAAGGAACGATGGAAATAAGTAGGGCAGAGAGAATGGAAGCAATAAAATGTATTGAGTATGGAGTTAATTAAGACAGATGCTATTAGTTACTGTCATTTCATGTTCCCAGTCCCCAAAAACCATTAATAACTTGCCCTTATGTCTTTTTCTTATGGTGTGACCCAGTATTATAAAAAAACAGGGGACAGTATGTGGAGAGATGGTTGTTGAATATCAAAAATCCATCATAGGTTTACTGATTTGTCTTGAATTTGTCAGCTCTCCTCAACTGCAAATATATTTTTAAATCAAGAATTTTCTTTTTGCACCTAAATGGCACATTCTTTTGATTTCTGATTGTTACATTGTCTCCAGAACAGTAAGCCCCCATATCTGAGCTCAGAGAAGGAGAGAATTAGTGGTTTTTTTTGCGGGGGTGGGAGTGAGTGGTTGGTGGTGTGGTGGCATCTTCCCGTGACTCGGTACATCCTTCTGCCCTGCTCTTTTGCACATGCATTGTTCTGGTTGGGAATACACTTCTAGGGTGCTGTGCTACCACGCACGGGTTGTACCAGATGATGGCAGTGGAGGCTCACTAGACAGTGAGTTTTCAGCGCAGAACCTGGGCCGTTTCTTCCAGCCTTAGGTGGTACAAGGCAGCATCTGCTCAGAGCTGCTTTGCTTGCTTTAGTAGTGAATCCTGATCAGTTTATAAGTCATCAGAGTGACTGTTTTAACACAACCAATTTAAGTTAATGATATTCAGGAAGAATCAAATTTATCATGTTAAAATATAAGAGGAATTTGTTGGCAGAGATCTAGCCTAAGCATTTCTGACTGCTAAGCTATGCTATTTTTTTCTTTTTTTTTTCCCTCTTTCTTTAAGTAAACTCATTGCACTGATGACTGGAGGAGGAAGGATGGGACAGGACAGCAGAGGCAGTTGAAAAGAACCAAATATTACAGCTCTCCATCTCATAATTTTAAAGCTGATGCTGTGACTCTAGGGACTTGTTCATGATTTTTCAGTTGTGGAGTTGAGAATGCCATACAAGTCACTTCTGTGTCACTGGGAAGGACAACTGATGTCAAGCAAAGAGTCAAGCTCCTTTGTAAAGAACTCAATGAAGTTCACAGGAGTGAGTCACAATAGGAAACTTCATGTATAAGGCGTAAATGACAGTTGTGAATGTTTCCTGATGATTTGTTGAGGGTTTAGTGTCCTTCCTTGCCACATAAATGCCTTTCTTAGGATGTGATTATGGAACCAGGGAAAGCAGGTCCAGCTTCACAAGATCAACGTGTAGGAGTTAAAGCCCAAGGCATTCTGGCAAAGGAGTTCACAAAGGGTGGAGTTAAGATAATAATGGAGAAAGAGAGATTCCCAGGAATTTAGGGTTACTATATAAAGATTCTGAAGAATCTGGGTGGACTCTATTCCATGTGTTCCAGCTGCTGCACGTCCTTCTTTGGCCCATTTATCTCTTCCATATTCTTTCTCTGCAACTAATGCAATTTGTGTCTTGCTGACCTCTCATGCTACATGTCTTTGTGGCTTTTTTCCTTCCTCTTCTCAAACAGTGGTGCCAAAGACACTCACTTTCACCTTCGTCACTTTCCTTTGAGATACTATTTCCATTCTGTCAGCTGTATTCTGCTTTAGGTACTTCAACCTCCCTCAGAAGTCTTGGTGTGTTTCTCAAGTCCTTTCCAGAATGCTTTCTCACTGGGATGTGGGAAGGGTGTTATCTTCTTTCCTCATTCAGACTAAGTGAGGGGCATTAGCTTCTTTCCCTGCTGGCAAGATTTGACTCTCCATGTCTCCTTTTGCAGCATCTTCTCTGCTGTACCTTCTTCCATTGAAATGAGAGCCTCATCTATTTCCACTAGTTATTAAAAGCAGCACGCAAATTTTGCTTAAAAAACAAAGCAAGTTCTAACCTGCAGGCTGGGCACACATGGTACCCTAATCCCAAAGGTTTTAAGAACAGATATATATGAACTAAAACCTGTTGTTTAAAGTACCCCAAAACCTATGTAGTTTTTGGCTAGTCTTGGGAGTTGAATGGAACTGCATTTATAATTTTCGATTGTGTGGGATGGACAGCCCTGACCATCTGATTCCTTTTCTCTGCTGTTATGCTTCTGTGCTTTCTTCATTGCTGTCTTTGACATGTAGTGTCATCTCAGTCTTTTTGTTATCTTATTTTCTGCAGATTTTTTCCATAGGAACCCTCTCCCCAATGCCTTGAAGGGTCATCTTCAGAGTTCCTTTAGAGATGTAGTACTAAACATGATTAAAGAAAGAGAAGCTAACATGCTGCTGGTTTTATCTCTCAGACTTCTTTATCCCTTGCCGACACAAAGTCTCTCCTTTCTTTGTTTACTTTCCTCCTAGTTAGTTTGGACTAACAGGGCAGAGGTTAAAGCAAGCTGAGAGTCGGGCACAAGATGAAAATTCCCGAAGTCAAATGACCTCTGGGTGGTGTAATTTCAGAGAAAGTGCTAAGGAAGGGCTTTGTGTTGAGGCTACAGTTGTCTGTCTAAGAGTAGATGGTAGTGTCCTCTCTAACCTGAACGTCCCCCTTGATATTGGGTGGGTGGATGCCGTTGCCTAGTGCTGCCTTACCATTTTCTGCTGCATAGCAAAGGATTCATTTACATGAATTTCAAAGGCTCTTTTTTAAATATAAAATAGGCCATCTCACCATGTGGAAAGGAAGGGAAGGACCTTCTTCCTGTTCTTTCCATCTCTAGTTATCACAGTATAATAGCTCCTAAAAGCAATACCCCAAAGGATTGGGGGATAGCAAAGAGTCAAGGAGCAGGCTATTGAGTGGTGCTGTTAAGCACATTGTAACAGACAATTAGTAGCTGCTACAGATGGTTCCCATGGGGGAGTAAAAAACAGTAGCAAGTTCAGGGCGGTGTAATGCTTTGGGCCAGCAAAAGTTTCTTGAAGACTCTGACCCTCTGTAGTTCTGCCCTGTGTCTGGTGGAGTTCCTGAGAAATGGCTAAGTTTCTGCTCATTGCTGGTGGACAATCCATTGAGAAATTTAGTTAAAGTAACTTGATGTCTCAGACTAGTTATAATGTAGAATAACAACCTGGGGCCTCTGACATTTGAATCCTCTGTGAACCTCAGGCTTGTGCAGGGGAGTTCTGTGCTGCCCTGCCTTTGATGCATTGATCGTTTCCCTGCCTTGTGACAGCTGACAGAGCTGCTTTACGGGCTTGGCCAAGTAGGATGTGGCACAGTGGTCCATGGGATTTAACTGGTGGATGTGGGGATATCAATCACAGCAACATCTCCTGAGCACTGGCAAATTTGGTCTGCTTTCCTGGCTGCATGCCATCTTGTCCAGTTGAGATTAAGCCCACTGTACAGCTTCCATTGTATACGCGAATAAAGACAGTACAGATAAGACTGCAGTACTCATCTGAAGCATTGTTATGGCCTTTCACTCACTGAAGGAGTGCGGGACCAAATTTGCTGTCGCATGAAATTTCCTGGGGCTAAAACTCTGTTCAAACATGGGTTTCAGCCTACCAGCCTTAGTTAGTGGTCTCTTCTTCAAAACAGCACCAGCTAAAATCAATAGTGATGGGCAGCTTCCGTGACATGCCCTGGTTCAACCTGCCAGGGTCCCAGTGAGCTGTGCTGTGTAAGACCCAGTCCCTGAGATTCTGCCACCACTAACTTTAATAATCAAACTATTTAAATTCTTGGTTTGTTCTAATCATAAAACTGAGAAGCCAGTTCAAGAACTGTGGCTGCTTGGGCCTTCCATGTCCTGGTTTTGTCTCTACCACAATTGGGAGACCTTAGCAAGGTCATCCTCCATGGATGGATGAATTGGAAATAACCGATTTCCCATGTCCTGAGCTCAGTGTCTGTGTCCAGCTGACAGGTGTTCCTGAACTTGAAGCAGACTTGATGGGTATAATACAAAATCTCACAAGAAGCTTGAGAAGCCAAATATGTTGATTTGGTTTATGTAGTTATTCTCATAGAGGCAATCAAATTATGAGGGGAGAACAGGAACTCCTGACTTGCTGATCTTCAGTTGAGTGTAGGTGGTACCAAATGACCTCTGAAAACCTTACTGCTTGTAAGATCGTAAGATAATTCAGTCTTCCTAGTACCTCAGAAGGTCTCTAGTGCAACTGTGTTCTTGAAGCAGTCAACCATGAGGTCAGACTAGGGTAATTATGGCTTCCAGCTGAACTGGAACATTCACATTTTCAGGAATCAGACAAACATATAAGGCTGTGTGAGTGATCAATAGGTTTGTTTCTGTATTTTTCCACTTTGAATTATATGAAGACATATTTTCTGTCCAAAGTGAATTTGCATATTACTTTTCTCAATAAAACATTTGAATTTTTCATGAGCTAAACCTTTCATTTATCCCAGATTAAAACATTCAGGTTACTTGTAAGAGATCGCAAGGGAAAGAAAAGTTTAGATTTTCCGAAAAATATTAGAGGAGGAGCTGGTGGTTCAAGGAGCTAGGTAGTTTGAGGTAGTTCCTCCAGTGCCTGGAAGACGAGGAATGTGACTCACTGGAGATCACCCCAAATGCCATGTGGAGCATTTTTGAGTATTTAAATGTCTAATGGAAAACAAAGTGATTCTAGGACTGACACTCCTCACTGAACTGTCCAGTGACCCTGTGGGTCAAACACTCCTGTTGTTCTAGCCACCTGGCTCCTAGGCTTAGATGAGCATCTGGGTGTTCAAAGCAAAATACTGTCAACGAGAGCACTCTCTAAATTTAGCATTAGGTCATTCCTGTAGGAAGTGATGGCTTGTATACTCTTGAGTAGAAGAAAGAATTAAACCACATCTCCCCAGAAATGTGTTTGAATGCTAAACCACTGATAAAGTTACAGGTTAGGGAAACAACTCTTCCTCTAACTTTTTTTTTTTTTTTTTTTAATCCTGCTGAGTTTTTTCCACAGATGAAATTTTTTTGTAAGTTTGCAGATGATTTTCAGCCTGTGAAAGACACTTAGTTTTTGTTCTAAGCACTTTTTGCTGAAACTACTCTTTTACATCCGGGCAGTGAGAACGGGAGCTAAACAAATCTCTCATTGTGGGTAGCAGGAAGTTGCAGTTGCCTCAGTTGAACTGAGAATCCTGCAAATAGGATATTGTCTTGTGAATGAAAAGATTTTTTGCTAATAAGTCTCATCTTCTTTACAAGTCCACAAAGCTTCCAAAGACCATATGTAAGGGAATGTAATGGGAAAGCAGGGAAAAAGTCCTTAATTACTTAATACATATAAAAGACGTACATGAGTTAAAGCACAACGATATGAACATTTAGAAATAAAACCACTCTTATTTTGCTTCTTGTATAGAAGCTTAACTTTACACTTTATTTCGAAATGAGAGTGCTGTACATGTGCTTAATCAAGCTTCAGTGAAAACATATTTTGATGTCTATGAGGTTTTAATGATCATCCTTTGATGTCTCTTGGATCAGGCAGGTACTAGGTGACATCCCAGTAGCAGACTCATGAGGGATATGACACAACTGCCAGGGTAGTTTTAGTCTCTGAGTTTGGTTCAGATCTTCTAATGTATAGCCCACAATGGTATAAGACACGGATTACCCTCATTCCATTTACTGAAGAGGATATGTCCTATTTACCTATTCCTGCTTGAATTTTGAAACAGTTGAGGTTTATAGACAAGTAGGTTGGCATCTATTTGTCTAATGCAAAGGCAAGTGGATGTCATCAGCCAGGAATAAATTTCTGGGCATTTTGCATAATCTGAAGTCTCCTGTGCTGTTTGATTTAACTTGGTATCCTGTATAAAAAGCTAGTTGGGACTGTGGCTTTTTGGCATATGTACAGCAGCTGCTCATCAAGTCTTCAGAAAATTGTCTTGAGCTGCTAAGCCCAAGGGAGGAGGGAACCAGAGAAACCAAATGCAAAGCGGGTCTGGTGTTTCAAGTGCTGGGTTTACTGTGCACATTAGACCTTCTTACATTATTAAATTTGCCACTCTAAATGTGCATATATACATATGTACATATTCATATACATATTCAATATGCACATATTGAGTTTGCCACTCTAAATTGTAATATACAGTTTAACCTTAAATGCTCTCCAGTCAGCACTATGTGGCATCCCCAAAATTCTGGAGTCTGCTGTGCTTCTCATGGTGATCTGAGATCACAGGCCTTTCTCCTCTTATCTGTTGATTTTCTCCAGGACTGAATAACTTGGAAAGCTGTGGTAAAAAGCACTGCCCAAGACATTACATAGTCTTTTAAACCTTAATCTAGAAGGAAAAGGGGATGGGGGAAACCACCTTGGGAATGGCTGGCCATAAATGTATGTAAATAATGTTCAGACTCCAGCCTTACAGTAAATGCCGCCCCCATCCCCCCCCCAGCACTTTCTGCTGGGGCCAGATGAGTCCACAAAAGGGAAAAATGGGAATTAATCCACTGAAATGTGGCATAGCCAGTGTGAAATGCATCACAACAGCCACATCTCCCTTTAATTCACTTAGGTGGGATCATCTGCTGGACGTACTTGCCTGCATGTCTCATTTACCACACCTGTTAGTCTAGAAATGGTGAAAGCTGACAGAAGTCAATAATTACATGTGGGGAAAGGTGTGTAAACATTATAAAGCTGCTCACAAGCAAAGAACATAGCACTGGAATGAAGTCCTAATTTAGCCCCTTTGTTTGACTGTATTGTAAAACAATGTCTAGTTATGTAACAGCATCCCCTTCTTTCTGAGGGATGCTCTGCCCTCTCCCAGGGACAGGCTGCTGGGGGACTGCTTTGGAGGTGTATTATGTGCTATCATATATGTTAGACTCAGGGGCTCACAAATCATCCGAGACTAAAATTATTGGAGGGGAAGTCCTCCATATTGTAAAACTTGGAATTTGTGCACGTGCATACTTAGAAATAGTTTGCCCCAGACCTTTTCCTGGCTTAAGTTTGCTGGTGCACATGCACGATTAACTGCAGAGTTGTCCATGGCAAGAGACTTTTGTTAGCACAAAATGTGGCACAGGACGTGTAGATATCCCCAGCTTACAGTTGCACGCATTTCTACATTGTTGGTCAGTGGCTTGGGAATGGGACTCTATCTGATTAACCACAGATGTTTGCACTCTCACTTATCTGGGGTACAGAGCCCAGCCCTGGGACCTCTCCCTTCTGGGCACTGCTCACTTGCCCTGGGGCTACACCACTTAAATGCAGGTAGCAAGGCACCTGTGCTTGGGCAGTGCTAACCTTGGGTGTCGCCAGGAGGGGATATCATTATTTATGGTGAAAAGATAATCTTGCATGTGGACGTACACCAATCTCTAATGAGCGGAGGTGATTTTGAAATGTAGTCAAGGCCACAGGTCTCTGACTGGCTAAATCACAGTTGAAATGCTTGTGATGTGCTATTTCTTCCCCTGTCTTAGAAAGCATCCTGTGAAATAAACCACAGGTAAATCTGACTTTCCTGTGGCATAAAACACTTGAAACTGAAGAAGTGCGAGTCTGTAAATTTACAGGACGTTTTAAAAAGAAAGTGTAGGGAACAAAGACAAATATTGCAGCAATGATTTTGAAGGCATAATGGTCTGAGGATACAAGCAAGGCCATGCTTGCAAGGCAGGACCTTTATTAGACTGTAGACAATTATTTTGATAATTTAAGGTGTATTTGGTGCAAACAAGGAGTATAAGCAAGAAGGCAGTGTGAAGTTCACTAGGCCTGTGGGACAAAGGTAGAAAAGGGTGGCTGTTATAATTAAAACACTATTGTTGTGATTCAGAGACCATCTGACAGCCATGCAGGATCATTTACCAGCAAACCCCATGCCAACAATGCTTACAAAAATTGAGCTAAACGGAAGGTTTTCATTTACGTCAGATCCCAGCCAGGACAGTGGGTAGGGAGAGGAAATTCACTGGTAAATGGAAAAGGAACTAAGCAAAATTGGCAGGGAAAGAAATGTTATTTTCCAGCCCACAATAGGATATGACAAACAATGGATGTAACTTACAGTTATTTATAAAAAAGGTCCTTTTGGAGCAGTGACCTTCTTGCCTAACTTCTTTAGAAGATAGAGGTTCACCCCTCCAGGGGAGGAGGGCAAGCAAACAGTATTTTAGGTTTAATGCTTCATTCCTTCCCTGCCTAGGCTATGGGAACCTGAGTCCCAGCACTGCGGTTGGTCGAATCTTCTGCATCGTGTTTGCCCTTTTTGGAATTCCCTTGAACCTCGTACTCCTGAATGAAATTGGGCAGCTGATGCTGCTTGGGGTTCAGCATTGTGCCCATCGCCTAGAGGAGGTGTTTCATTGGCAGGTAAGCAGTGTGGATGGGTATATCTCAAGGAAACAAAAGACAGAGGACACTGTCTGGTATTTGACATCCTCTGGCTAACAAGGACAGCCTGCCTACCTATTTGGCCAAAAAGGCAATAATATTCAGGAATAAGTGGAAGCAAATAAATTTATTTTGTGACAGCCCTATGAGGTGTCAGATAAGGTTGTTTATTAATTCTGAGGGAAATTCTGTGATGAATGACTTCCCCTACAGCAACAGAAGTGCTAAAGCATGAGAGCCGTGCACAGTCCCAGATTATCTGGTCTGTTTATCCTCAGTCATAGTTAGAATTGCCTGAGTAAGTTATATGGGAACATTTGTGGAATAGGCTTTAAACTGGCATGACTCATGGAGGTGATGCCCAGTTTGTGTTGACTGGATGTTGAAGTTTAACCCCATGTGGCAGCTAAGCACTACACAGCCACTCACTCACTCCCTTCTAATGGGATGGGGAAGAAAATCAGAAGAGTAAAAGTGAAAAATGTCATGGATTGAAATAAAGACATGGATTGAAATAAAGTTTAACAGGTAAAGCAAAAGCTGTGCATGCAAGCAGAGCAAAACAAAACCAGGAATTTGTTTACCACTTTCCATCAGCAGGCAAGTGTTCAGCCATCCCCAGGAAAGCAGGGCTTCATCATCTGTAACTTGGGAAGACAAATGCCATCACTCTGAACATCCCCCTCTTCCTTCTTCCCCCAGCTTTGTATGCTGAGCATGATGCCGTATGGTATGGAATATCCCTTTGATCAGTTGGAGTCACCTCTCCTGGCTGTGTCCCCTCCCAGATTCCTGTGTACCCCCCATCCTACTCACTGTTGGGGTGGGATGAGAAGCAGAAAAGCCCTGTATTATCAATACTGTTTTCAGCACAAATCTGAAGTACAGCCCCACACTAGCTACTATGAAGCAAATAACCATCCCAGCTAAAATCAACACACTGGCAGATCCACACTGTTTCTTATAACGGAATGTAACGAATGTTTGCATATTTCTGTGGAGTCCTTCATGAGCTTTTTTTTCTTCCTGTTTTTCTAGAATAAAGCTTCTCTCCTGATGAAGACCTGTGCACTGGTAACTGGCTTGTTATTGTTCCTCTTGCTACCTCCCTTGTTATTCTCTGACAAAGAAGGCTGGTCCTATGAAGAAGGCTTCTACTATTCCTTCATTACCCTCAGCACTATAGGGTTTGGAGATTATGTGATTGGTGAGTAGTTCACATTTCGTCGCTTTCATCTGCTGAACAGCAAAGTCAAATGCATGGCGTCTGAAGCTCCCCACTGGGCAGTTTGACACTGCTAGCATTCCACAGACCTGATGCTAAGTATGTTGTGATAGGCATTTGACAGGTTGGGGAGGACCTGATTCCTGTGATAGCAATGCACCTGTAGAAGAACAAAGAAATTTTTCCCAGTCAGTGAGTAGTCTTCCAGCATTCACGTGTTCTGTTCCCTGAATGACTGCACCCCCAGGCTGGAGTGCTGTGGTGTAGTCAGTGTGGTGGCTGATGGCACACATTTACTGCACTCCAGTGCATCAGCAGCGATTAATTTCAGCAGATGCTACTCTGCATCACCATTAACAGACTGTGAACATTTCTTCTGTCAAAACCCAAGACAACTGCTTTCTAAAAGGCAGCTCAAGTCACTTAGGTGTAGACTGTCAGGCACCGGGCACAGCCTAGTTTTGGATGCCAAAACCCTTTGCCAGAGGAAGTGGGATTGGACCCACGCCCGTTGCATTTGCTGAAACACAGGACACACCTTTTTGATAAAGGCTTTCTCATTAAAAACAAATTGATTAGAGAAACACATGCACCCTTGAATCCCTGAGAGACAGAAAGACTAAAACATCTTTTTATGGATTCTCTTATTTTCTTTCCTTTGTAGCGCTTGATTGATGGTTAGACAACTCTGTGGTGGCTACTTTAGGACTCGTGTATAATGCATCAAAGTTATGATTAGAGCTTGTGTAGGCACACATAAATAAGCTGGAATCAAGTTAGCTTGGGTAAGGTAGCTAAATAAAGCTTAACAAAAGCTAGGTCTGTTTCCTGCGCTGATATTACAGATGATGCTGAATTTTGTGTGGCAGCAGCTTTACTTCTCTCAGTTTCTGGTAATGAATTTGGTGTACCTCCCTCTTCCAGGTGTACCTTCACCTGTGTAGTACCCTTGTAACTGGTATACTGCCATAGATATGCTAGGTTTGGTATGGGGATAACTGAATGGGTCAGCATCCTGTGGTATGTACTGGCCAAACAATTTTGGCCTTACAATCCTGTATGTGTGGTTTATGTCTAAACTTAAAAACGAGGTTCAAGTGATCATCGTAATGTTTCCCCACTAGTGTGATGCAAAACTGGGAGGAGTAGCTGACGTGCTGGAAAGCAGCTCTACAGAAAAGGGCCTGGGGGTCCTTTGTGGACAACAAACTGCCCATGATCCAGCAGAGTGCCCTTGTGGCCAGGAAGGCCATTGGTATCCTGGGGTGCATCAAGGTCAAGGGAGGTGAGCCTGCCCCTCTACTCAGCCCTAGTGAGGCCACATCTAGAGATTGCTGTGATTCTATGAAACGTGAAATCTCTTTCTCTGGAGATATTCAAAATCTGCCTGAACACAGTCTCATGCAGACTGTTCTAGGTGAACCTGCTTTAGCAAGGGGGGTGGACTAGAGGATCTCCAGAGGTGCTTCTGCTACTCTTCTGGACCAGGGAAATTCTGGGAGATATCATATGCCAGGAGTGATGTCCAGTGTTCCCTTTGGACACAACTGCTCTGTTTTGGGGAAAATGTAAGCCAGGCTATGGCACTTGGACTTGAAGTCATAGAGTGGTCCCTAGCCAGTTTTATTTACTAATATTGATGTAGCTTCTCTTACTGACCCTGAAATTTGCTAATTTACACACTCAATAAGCCTTTCTATTGAATACAGGGTGCCTATACTGCTTCAGATCTTCCCATCCCCGACTCTGCAACTATCGTATGGTCTCTGTGGGAAAAGCATTCTCCTTGGAATTCTCAAATAGCCCTTTGCTCATGTTTTCATTTATTACTTAGAAACAAACAATTTTTAAACCTTTGAATTTAGCATTGGTGAAAGGTTCTTGTTTGAATAATGCATAAAATACTCCTCCTGTTTGAAGTTCACCTGGATATAGAAAGCCAACCAAAAGAGTAGCTAGCACAGAAATTATTAGAGTCATAGAATAGAATATTCTGAATTGGAAGGGACCCACAAGGATCATTGAGTCCAACTCTTAAGTGAATGGGGATCAAATCCACAATTTGGGTGTTATTAGCACCATGCTCTAACCAACTAAGCTAATCTCAGGGTAGCTCCCAAACATTTACAGGGGCTTAGTGACAACTTAACGTCTTGTAGTCCCATTATATTGAACATGTACAATGTATATTATGTAATATATAATAATACTAAGTAAGTGGGTGTAAAGGATTGGATGTTTAATATGATGCTACTGAACATTTCTACTTATCACCGTCTTGTAGACAGTAACAGTTCACAGACCATGATTTGGGAACTGCTAGCTCAGTATTCTTGCACACAACCTATCACAGATAACCTAAACACCTGAGGGGTGTTTTGATGGATGTCCCATTTTAACCCAGCCCTATGCGTGCTTTTCACTGGAATGTGGTATGGTGTGTGGCCTCCAGGTTTGTGGAGGTACCACCTTGTATGTGTTAACTCCTCACATTCTGTCCCAAAATTATTGGGTTTTCTGTAGTATCTGCTGCACTGTAGGTATCCAGTTATAAAGTGACAAACCTTCCTAAGGTAAGGAAACTAAATAGTGACGCCTGAGAAGCAGTGGAGGAAAAAAGCCATGCAACAATTTCACTGCCAGTGATTTGTGTCCCGTGTCTGTAAGGGTACCCCAGACTGCTTTACAGATACAACCCAGTCACTTTATAGGGCTTTTTCTGTATTAATATTACTACTGAGACTAACTTATCCCATAGAAGTCTCTTTGCACAAAACACTATGGAAACACAATCGGAAACGTGGCTTTGCTCCAGAGGGATCACAGAGTACCTTGCTGAGTAACCAGACAAAGATAGCATAATTTCAAACCATCTTCCAAGGCTTGGTTTCTCTTGGAAGTTTTAGGACTGCTCAGGACATAGATGTAATTTAGGATTTTTTTTCTTTCTTATGGGTAAACTTTGTGATTCTTAGGGATACTAGTCTGCTGGTGACATGTCATGAAACATACTTGCTTACAACATCTGTTCATGTGCTAAATAGATGGCATACTCGTGTTTTATATAGAAATCACTAATATTAATTGCTGTTTCAGCTGTCTTTGCTTTTACATTTCTTGTCTCTGAGGCACTCTTGATCCAATCTAGAAATGTTTTGGGTGATTCTGTTCTAGGGATGAACCCAGATCGCACCTATCCAAGGTGGTACAAGAATGTAATCTCTCTGTGGATCCTCTTTGGGATGGCCTGGCTAGCACTGGTTATCAAATTTTGCATCAACCTTCTAGAGAGCTCCAGTGACTTCTGTCAATGCACCAAGAAGAGCACCGAGACGGCAGAAGACTTAATGGATGGTAATAAAAATAGTACAACAGGGCTTCACAATGTGGACATCTGCAATGACAAAGACAGAAAAACAAAAGGACCGAGTGAATCTCATACCTACACTGCTCCTGCAGAAGCTCTCTAGGGAAGAAATATACCCTTGGTGTCCTATAGGTTTCAGTGCACCAGAGATGCACCATTTAGAAATGAGGGAGTGGAGCTGTCCTGACCTTCACAGGGGATGAAAGCTTGCCTGTCGGCCTTGAAATGCTTCTGTTCTGCATTGTGCAATGGCAATAGAATGTTTCATTTCCAGCACCACCAAGGATTGCCAACAGGACTCCTAGCCAAAAGTAGATTGATGGAGATATTACCTGCCCTCCCACCTCAATATATGAAGTAACCTTTGACATCGATTTGCAACATCAACTCTTGTCCTGTTCTTTGCATGCAAAGTTCTTGCAGCCTCTGGTCGCTGTGTCTGTGTCTGCCAGTGTGTGGCATTTTGCAGATGCTGCAGCTAGAAAAGCAAGTGCCATTTAATGAAGGAAACAAACAGCATGCTGCTAAAAGACTTAAAGAAAAGCACGATTTAAAGGTATTTGTCTGTCACGTGCACCATCACCTGAATGTCGTGAAAGGTGGCAATGAGCTTTTACTCTCTTATCACTAGTATATGGATGGCAATGAGACAGAGCTTGTAGAGGTGTTTAGTAGAAACAGATAATTCAGGTTTTTTTAAAGCAGTTTCTACATCAGAGGTCCTCTAATATTAAAAAGAGACTAGGTCAGCTATTCCTTACTTCAGAACTTACATAGGTTCATCCTTTGTAAAGTATTATGTAGACCAAATATCATAAGCAATTCATTTAGATTATTTTGCCTCATCTTTGAAGTCAGAAAAGGAGGACTTGAGGCATTTTAAGTGGCAGTAGTTCCAACATTATCCTGTGGCCAGTGTTAACAAGGACTACCTTAATCTAGAATCAGATTGAAGTATCTTCAACTGTGATCAAGAGATGCTGTTTTGGTGAACTTCTCATGTTATACATTAATAGTGTACCACTTCTATCTAACACCTTCTATATAATCACAACTGTCTGATCTGTGGAATGCCAGACCTGCTTATTTGGCCTTTGTGTCAGTCATGAAACAGAACGGTTTGGAGTTTTTTAATTCCATTAAATTCTCAAAAATCTTCTGATACATTGTGTCATTGATAAAGGCACAACAGAGTCTAAGTCATGCTGCCATTTGTATTCCCATATCTAGTCTTCTTATTTTCTTATTCCTGTTGTGCTACTTGCATCCTAGAACATTAACTTTGAAAACTTGACCATAGCAGCAAACCAGAATGAAGCATTTGGGTGACCCTTCAGCTTTTGCACTGAACCCAAATTCCATATGAATGATAGAGAAAAGACCGAAAACTGAGTCCGCTGGAGTATGCAATTCAGGAATTAAAAATATCCATAGCTATATTCACAGAAATGTGAGTGTAAAGTTTACAGTCTTCAGGAACACAAATCTGGAAGATATATTGTGAAAAAAGTGTTTCCACATATAGGCCAGTCAGAGAATTGATACGTGGTGGAACTGATTACAGGAGAAAATGCTGGAAGGAAATCAGCTGGGTGAAATTTAGTCTGTCAACCTTTTGCTAATTGCATAGTAGTAAATATTCTCTCAAATACTGTTTGAATAGGCAGCAAAGATCAGGAAGGGAGGCAGTGAACATCTTGGATCATATGGATGCAAAAAAAATACATTTCAAATTTTTGAACATGGGGAAATTTCTTTAACAGCCTTTATAATAAACTTTTTTGTTTCTTCTGTGTTTCATCTTGCTTATTTTCACTGATGGATGTACAGTGTAGGTTTTACTTATGTCATAATGGGCTGGCCTACACAAAGACCAAAGTTTATTTCTTTAAACATCAGTAAATCACAATTCCACAGCATAAAACATGATGCCCTTTTATCCATATCTTTTGCACCCTTTTTCACATGCAAAACTTAGTAAATGTAACTGTATTGTAAAATCTGGGTGTCCAAAAGATAGTAGGAGATTCTACTGTTGAAGCACAGGAATGACTATGCTAATTCTGTTTCAACTTCAGCTTGAACTGTCAGAGATTCCGGGGGTTTCTGTCAGCTCTGCTCTTTGATGAGAGGGCTTATCTTGAGATGAGTTTCATCTTTTAAATTTGACTGTTTATTAATCTCATTTAATTCCCATGTATGGGAATCTCATTTAATCTCATTTAATTCCCATGTATTTTCAGTTTGTAAATGGGGTTTTCAAAGGTGCCTTAGAAGTTTTAGCACCCTGGTTCCACTGAAGTGGAAACAGAGTTGCGTGCCTTTGGGCAGCTAATATACACTTTGAGAGGTAAAAGGAAGACAAAGTTTAGGAGTAGCCCCCATAAAAAGGAAAAAAACCCAGTAAATTCTTCATAGCTTTTGGTGCTTCCACCGTATGTCAGGGTTCAGCCACAGACCTAAGCATGTGGCTGGATCTCAAGATGCCTTTTTATCTGCTCCAGCAATCTTTTATGATTCACTTCCTCTTGCAGCAGGGCTGTTGTGTTACCCAGCAGCTCAGCACCAGCGTAGCCCTGCCATGCACTTTCTGATACAGTGCGCTTTATGGGTGCATCTGAACTGCTTGCAAGGCATGTGTACGTCCAAGGGTGCAAGTTGCTTGCTTGGGGGTCTTGGATCACCTTAAAAAACGTGAAGTAAGTGAGTCAAATGCCATCTCTGCCTGGGTTCTCTGACACTGAATTAACATTACATCACTTACGAATATTCTTTTTTTGACAGTTTCTCAGCTAGTTTATGATGTAGACAATAGATACAGATGTGTCCGAGTCCCAGCAAACTGCTGTTCCTCTGGTTTTCCTGTTCTTTATAAAGCTGTGTCTTTATAAAGTGTTGTGGTTAAATGACATGGATGAATTTGTTCCCAGAGGGATGAGAAGAAAGTGGAGTTTTGCAACATCACAAAAAAAAAAAACATAATCAATGTGTCTATTATACCAAAATATGAAAGGTTATCTTCTCAAGGGTAAAATAAAGAAAACAAAAGCATGGTGCTGTTATCATTCTTGTCACAGCTGACATGCAGTCTTCTGTAATCTGTATTGGAAAATTACTGATGCTCCTTGATTTATTTTTTATTTAATATCTCTTCCTGTTCTGGTAAGTGTGCAGTTTTCTTTAGTGATTTTAAGTTAGACTTTCACTGCTATTATTCTTCACAAGTCAATTTTTCCTTATTATCCTGTTTTCTTCCTTGGGAGGAGCAGGGGTTGGAAACAGGTTTGGTTAGTAATGGTAGTTGTAAATATTTATGTAACATCAATCTCCAGAGTCTTTTTCACAATCACATAGAGCATAATGTGCTTCTGACCTTTATACAGTTTCCCAGGAAATCAATCCCTTGAAGCAAGAAAACAAGCCCCTGTCTGTCTCCCCTACTCCAAGGACAAGTCCTGGCCTCAGCCTCAGTGTTTCTTATGCTGGCTCTTTCAGCTAGTCCAAAAGAGATGTTTACCCCTTGGGGAGAGATGTGTCCAGAAGTACGTAACAGGATGTTACAGCAGCATAGTACAGACTGCTCAGAACTGCACACTCTTTGTCTAGTTGACCACAGTATTTTGAGGTCCCTAGACTAGAACAAAAAAGCCCTTCTTCCACAGTAGTCTATGGCTCCAAAAAAAAATCCAAGTTGTCAGTTTTCTTGCAGTGGTTGGCTGATAAGGCCTTACCTTAAAACTGATACCCCAGCTCAGTTTAGAGCTGAGACTGTTTAGCCTAGAGAAGTCTCAGGGGCATCTCATCAATGTATATAAATACCTACAGGGAAGGTGTGAAGAGGATGGAGCCAGGCTCTTCTTCAGCAGAGCCCTGTGATAGGACAAGAGGCAGTGGGCACAAACTGAAACACCACGAAACACTTCCCCACTATGAGCAAAGAACTGGCATATATTGCCTGGAGAGGTGGTAGAGTCTCCATCCTTGGAGATATTCAAAGGCCAACTCTAGGTGACCCTGCTTGAGCAGGGGAGTTCAACCAGGTGATGTCCAGAGATCCCTCCCAACCTCAGTCATTCATGTTTCGGCATTTCAAGGTCAAACCAACCTCTTAATAGTCCACAGTACACAGCCTTCCACTCTCTCCAGACTACCTCCAATAACATTCAGGTTGCACTGTCAGCAGGCCTTGCAGACCTTCCCACAGTTTGTAGACAATAATTATTTTTGTCTCACAGTCAGATATGCTTTATAGGAAGAGTGGTACAAAACAAATACTATTACTTTGGGAGAAGAGAGGAGAAGTGTCTCCTGCAGATATTAGATACCGTTGTGCCATTCCAAAAATGTACAGGAGTGTTCAGCTTTTCAGGTTGGTGTAGCCTCCTGTCAGTGTTACCTATCTGCCTACAAGTTCTAGAAGAAGGATTCATTGTTTTATTTCTGACACACCTCAGGTAAGACAAACCTCATTTTGGTTTACCCTTTCTAAATCAGAGGCTTATGTTGGTACAGATTGCTACTTACCAATTGAATCTGGGCAAAATTTTAGTGCAGTTCAGTCCCATAATGTGAGCGTGCCATCTATGTCAATAAATATTCTGACTGATGGAAGAGGTGGATGCAATAAATAAATGTGCTTTTTCAGTACTGTTATGCTATGGCCTAAGGAACTGTGTGTTGGATAGTGTCTCCCCTTCCAGTAGTCTTGTCTGTTGGTGAAGTAGCACCTGGGCAATTTCTGTGATTGATTGCCTTTGAGCACCCTTTTGGTTTTAGAAGGTTTTGTCTTTTTTTTATTTATTTTTTCAATATCTCAAATAAGTGTGGAAACTTCCAGTTGAAATGGAGTTGAGTCTGAATGTCTGGGCAACTGTCACACTGCATGGCTCTGGGCAAAGATCCAAAGGTTTCTCAGAAAGATGGGTGATTACAATGGAACAATACCTATGCCCTTACAAATCCTCATTTCTCAGGACTCAGACTGAAACAGATGGTAAGGGTGGGGGGTCTTTTCAGAGATAAACTGATACACGTTTTAAGGTAGCACCAAGCAGGTAGAGAGGATCTTTGGTACCTGGGAAGTCAATGCATGTTGCAGTAAGAGCCACTGAAAAGCTGTTGGAGGAAACAGCAGCGACATGGATTATTGTATTCTTAAGCTGTTTATGTTAATATAGGTGCAGATACGGTCTCCAAAACTTTTTATTCCTTTTCAAGTTCTGAGAAGTACCTTTATTTTTAAGGGAAGTTGAACAAGAAGACATTCCCAGTAAAAAATTGATAGAACCATAATGGTTGTGTCTAAGTACTAGAGCCACCTCTTGGGACAGAAACAATGCAGTGTAAGTTAGAGATGCTTTGAAACTGTTTTAATTTTTATCAGTACATAAACGTTTTAATTTTTAGTAGTACATGTGTCCTCCCTGATACTGACTTAAACTCACTGGAAAATAAGATTTAATTCTTGAGTAATACAAATTTCCAAAATCTCTAAATTAAAACAAGAGCTTGCTTACCAAAGCAAGCTATAACAGATGGAAACAGAAAGTGAGGGAAAATAATAGAAAAGAAAACATGGAGGAGAGAAGCCTGTGGAGTTTATTACTCATTCCTAAGGAACCTGGTTATCAAACTTCATTAGGTTCATACATTTCTTTTTGGTAATGCCTTTAAAAGCTATGTCTTAAATAAATTAATACATCTGTATTTAGTTAGTGATTATGGAAGTGCTTCAGACATCCATGTATCTGAGTGTATAGCAAGGCCCAGTGCATAAATTTAGGGTTGTACAAACCTGCCACCAGAGGCAAAACTGAAGAAGGCATAGGTATGAAAACTGAACAAGAAGGCACATGGTAAAGATAGGGTCAAAAAGAAAGAATTAGTTGAGGCAAGGAGAAATGCAGTGAGGCAGCATTTGCCTAGCTGACTATGGTAAATGAGGAATGGATAATTGAGGGAAATTCCATTATACTTAAGAATTAGAGTAACGTAATTTAGGTAACTACTGATCAAAAAGTCATGATTGTCCTATAACTGCTATTATTCGATACATAATTCTAGTACGAGTTGAAGTTGAAAGACTGTTTTTAAAATCTTTCAGTTCTCCAATTAATGTTGTTCATCCCTTTTTTCCACTGCTCTTTGGGACTGCCCAGTTAGGACATTATTCTGGTACTAATGATCCCCTGCACCTCAAATTGATAAACGCGGTGGCTTCCAAATACAAGTTTGAATCTGTTGATTAAACTTTGGTTAAAACTTTAAAATGCAAATTTGATGTAGCATAGCACAGAAAAATATAATCCTAGAAGGCAAATGTGGTGGATGACTACATGAGGTACTGGAAGGATCATAGAGAATGCCTGGAAGCTTAGTTTTATATGGTTTTGCTGTCAACAAAGCACAGTGAGGAGTTTAATTAGTTACGGCCTTCAAAATAAGGGAGAATTTCTCTTTAGCAAGCAGTGAATGTAAGACAAGACTTCAATGTGACGTAACCAGTTTGGGTGCACCCAAAATGAAGCCACATTTCAGATCTTACTTACTTAGCAAGGAGACATAAGTGTTGACACCATTTGGATGAGAGGACTTTTGAAGCCTTATAGCAGTTTTAAGTCCAGAGATTCAAAAATACTGACTCATACTTTTCAGTGTCTGCCCTTTGAATTTTGAACTGTTACTGCAGTGCACAACGTTGTCTGTCTGTGTGTGTGCAAATGAAAGAAAGGAATGGTACTGCTAGTGTTCCTAATTATATTATGGTCATGTTAATTCCTACAGCGCGTTCTCCACATGGCTCCAACCCCTTTCCCAGCAAATAAAAAAATTATTTTATAATTTCTTCTTCATAAACAGTTTTTTTCTTATGCTTTTTTCTGGTCTTGGTTCTGCCTAATCAGTCTTGATCCTGCACTAGTTCCCTCACCACTCCTGGACCAAAATCAGCTCTTCTCCTCTTGTATTTCCCCTGTTTGCTCAAGCCCTTCTCCCATGCCAGGAAGAATTATGTACAACAGAGTCTTCTCTGTTATGCTGGGGCCAGCATGGTATATAATGCAGAAAAAAAGGAAGAGCAGAGGGTTTGCAGGGACTACTTTTCCTGCTCCCACTCTCTTCTCATAATGATGTTAACTATAGGATCTCAGCTCTGAGGAGGGTTGAGATCTCTCCAAT